GGGTGTCCAGACCCGGCTCCCGCCCCGGCTGCCCCTCGCCCGTCGTCGCCCCTAAAGTTCTGCGTCCCACGGAGAGAGGGACACCCACTATCTGGCTCCTCCCGAGCACCCCTCATTCTGGGTCTCAGCCTCACCCGTGCGGAAATGAAGGAAGGAAAACTGGGGGCGGGGTGGGAGGGGGTCAGGGAAGTTGAATGACCCCAACTCCCAACTCTGCCCACCCCTCCCCCTGCGAGGCATACATTTACCCCCGGCTTCTTTTTTTCTGGTTCAAACGATGGGACTGCCCTTCCCTCCCGGGAATGACTTCGCACCCCACCCAGCCCTACGCTTCACCTGTATCTGCCCCCTGCCCCCTCGTCCACCCCCGCTCTTCTCCCCTATGGTCGCCCATCACCCCATCCGACCATTCCTGCGCCTGCTTTGGCCCCTCGTGTGCACCCCCTTCCCTGCGCTGACCCCTTAGCCCGGGGGGCTGACCCGCCGGCCCTTCTGGAAAGTCTACGCAACACCCAGGAGAGGGAATGAAAGGGCCGGGAGCGCAGGGACAGAGAGCAGAGCCAGGGAGAGCCGGGGCTGCAGCCGCCGCTACCCCGACGCCGAAACACAGTAAAACACGCAGTCAGCCACTCACATGATCGGAAGCCGAGCTGGGGACCGAGAACCCCACACCGCAAAGGCCAGCTTCATTTTCTCACTTTCCACCTAATGTTTTGAAATCAAGACACGTACTTGAGAATTGAAAACAGTACAAGAAAGCAAGCAAAGGACAGGGACAGATGTGCTGAGTGAGAATGACAGAAAAAAGGCATTATTCGAGAGATGATGAGAAGTTAGAGAACAAGGGAAGCCGGAGACCGTTGCTGTCAGAGACATGAAGGGATAGAGTCAGAGAGAAGAGGAACTGACTGTGGGTACATTGCCCTTGATTGGCAAGAGTCAGAATAGATATATGTATTTCATCCTTACAAATGACAGAACATGTTCAGCAAGATTAAATAATATTCCCAAGTCACACTGGCAACTGCTGGTGTGAGGCTCCTGAGGGTGGAGTGTCCCACAGTGAACGGTGTGTGTTTGGGGGTAGGGGTAGGGGTGCAGGAGATGGAGATGGGCTTGGGGATTCAGTGTCTCACCTTGGGGCCAAGGGTGCTGGCTCTTCGTGGAAATGTCCTCAACCCAGCGGGGAGCCAGAGCTGCTTCGTTCTGTCTATTCTTATCTCAGGCATCATGTTGTAGGTAAAGCCCTTCTAGAAGCTGGGGAATGGGGCAAGTACTCCACTTGGCACTGCCCTGGAGACCTGTGTAGACAAACAGGCAGATGCCAACAAGCAGGAAATCTCTGTACCCAAAGAACCCCTGAGAGGGGAACTTGGGCTGGGGCTGGAGCCAGGGTGGGGACCAGGAGTGGGGATGGGAGCAGGCGCTGGGATGAGGCTGGAGCTGGCAGGGACTGGGCAGAGCCAGGGACTGGCTCGTTTGAGAGCTCGCTGCAGACACACTGTGACCCTCAGTCCCTGCTCTCCTGTCTGGGTTGCCTCAGACCCAGCTCGGCTCTGCTCAGCCGCCACTTCTGCTTCTGATCACAGATAGCACAGGACCGTGATTTAAGGACACAGCATTAGCTCTAGAATCAGACACTTCTAGATTCAAGAGCCCACGGTGCCCCTTACTAGCTCCACTGGTCTTGGGCAAGTCACTTAACCTCTCTGAGCCTCCATTTCTTTTCCTGTAACAGTGGGCTCATAAATGCCTACCTGGAGAGCTGTTGTGATAATTAAATGAGACAATATATATAAAGTATTTAGCAGATTGCCCACCTCATAGTAAAGTGCTTAATAGATGGGAGTCATTGAAATGTTTGCCACCATCCCCGTCATCATTATTGATGCTGTTGATGAAAAGTTGGGAGTCGCTCTCTGCAGTTAAGAGAAAGGGTAATGACACTCTTCTCTCTGGGGACAGAACTGCCCCGCCCTCCATCTGTGTGGTTTGAAGCAGAATTTTTCCACCACACACTCCACTGGATGCCCATCCCGAACCAGTCTGAAAGCACCCTCTATGAAGTGGAGCTCTTGCGGTAAGGAAAGGGAAGATGGAGAAATGAGGGCGGTGGGGAGGGAGGGTGCGGGTTCCTCCCCTTCTACTCCTCTGGCCTTGTTATTGAAGTGATGCCGGGAAGGACCCTGGCATGTACCCATCAGCTGGCAAGTACTGAGTCTCATATATGTCGAGCAGTGGGCTAGGAGTCCTGGGGTGAGAAGGCCAAGGTACGGCCTTTACCCTCAAGATTTTTCCACCTTGTTGGAAAAACAGGAAAAGTATCCATAATACAGTTGGAGAACCAGGAAACCCTAAGGACTGCAAATGTAGCTGCGAAGAGAGAGAAATCAGGTTGTGCTGCAGAGGGTAGCAAGTCTTCCAGGAGGAGATGGGATTTTGAGCTACTCATATTCCAATCTAAGAGTCTTCTAGACCACAGAGATATTGATACACAGCCCCAGAACCAAGGGAGATCTTGCAGTTAGATGCCCTGGACTGGAGGAAATACCCTGAGGGCTATACCACCCGGGAGCTTTCTCTCCTGGCCTCTTGCTTTCCTTGCAAAGAGGTAGTTTTGAGCACAAATTCCTCTACCAGTCCCTCTGCTGCTATCTCCCAGGTATGGAACGGAGGCCTGGACGTCCATTCCCAGCTGCAGCCGGACCCTGGTGCTGTCCTGCGATCTCACCGTGGCGACCCTCGACCTGTACCACAGCAGTGGTTACCGAGCTAAAGTCCGGGCAGCAGACGGAAGCCAGTACTCCAACTGGACCACCACCCAAACCCGCTTCTCCGTGGATGAAGGTGCCTTTCTTTCCCTGGGCCTAGAAAATGGTTGCTGGGGCCCCTTCCAGCCGGAAGCCCGAGTGGAGAACTTCACTCTCTTCCCGTAGCTTGCCTGGCCAGCCCCGCTTCTGAGCCAGGGACCTACTTGCCCAAATAACTAGTCAAGACTTTGGAGAAGGTTTAGATGAAAATAGCCAAGTTGTTCAAGATCTGAAAGGGAACTGGAGTTGTTTATCCTACGGAAGAGAGGCCCTGGGGTGCGTTGGGGCAGCTGAGTCATGAGGGCCAGGCCTTTGTACTTTAGGGTTCCAGGAGAGGAAGTGAATCTGTCAGCACTCAGCATAGGGCAGCGAGCAGTAGGCAGAATTTGGATCAGGCGCTCCCCCTTTAGGGGTGAACTCCCAATGGTCAGCGTGTGAGGCTTTGAAGAGCCAAGGTGCTATCGATGAGAAGTTGGGAGTCTCTCTCTGCAGTTAAGAGTAGAGGGCAACCCCCACATTGGTGGGATTCTTCCCTTCCACAGACTGGGACTGACCATGCTTTGCATGTGTGATGAGGCTGCTCTACAAAATTCAGAGTCAGAACCAATAGTCTGGATGGTCATTGGCTTCCAGATGCCTGCCTGCAGGCTGGGGCTCAGCTGGCTACAGAAACATTGCTTGGGGAGTGTGTTGAAAGTAAATACTTCCAGGCGCCCAGCCTCAAAAATTCAGATTCAGTGTGTCTTGAGTGGGCCTGGGACATCTGTGTATTCACCATGCTCCTCAGGATGTCCTTACATTCTGCTAGGTTGGGAAACCTGGGGCCCAGGTTTTGGGGTGGCAAAGCCAGACCCGAGAGGCTGGTATGGGTGGGGTGCCAGGCCCTCTCCAGCCTGAAGGGCTCACAGACTTGCTTCCCTACTCAGTGACTCTGACAGTTGGTAGTGTGACGCTTAAGAAGCACAACGGTTTCCTCCTTGGGACAATCCAGCCCCCCAGGCCCAAGGTGGCCCCTGCAGGCGACACATATGAAAGCATCTTCCCAAACTTCCGGGAGTACGAGATTGCAGTTCGCAAGGTGCCAGGAAACTATACGGTATGGGGCCCCCCAGGGTTGCAGGACCAGGCTCCCTGGGCTCCCCTATCATGTTTCATGCACCCCTGGGGATCTTGGCAGCAGAGTAGAGGGAGGTCTCAGCAGCGGAGGGGGGAGTTGAAAGACCTCAGCCCTCAAACCTATGCTCCTGCCTAGTGGCAGGGAAGATGCTGCCTACTGGGTTGCAGGCATCACACACGACATTGAATAGCTATTGTTTCTGGTCCCCTTGCAGCAGGGAATGAGGCTCCGAGAGGCTATGTGATTGCCCAAGGACACCCCAGCAGTGGGAGATGTAAAATCTGCAAAATCCATCCTCTTTCCTCTCTGCAGTGGTAGATTACAGCCCCTTCTGGGAAGGTCTGCAGCATCTATAAAACATTCCTTTTCTCTTTTAATACAAAATAAATCATGTTACTCCCAAAGACCTTGGGCTGCATTGGTAACATAGGGTTTGTTATCTTAGAAAAGAACCCTGATCACATGTCTCTAAAAATCCCTCCAGCTGGCAGCTTCCAAGTGCCATGAAACGAGGCAGTTTTGTTTACTGCTGCTGTCGTCTCTTTCAGTCCCCAAACAAGAAGGTAAAACATGAAAACTTCAGCCTCCCAGTGCCTGGAGAGGAGGGAGAGTTCTGTGTCAAGGTGAGACCGTCCGTCGGCTCCCGACTGAACAAGGGACTGTGGTCCCAGGAGGAGTGCTGCGTGCTCACCCCACAGTGTGAGTCCAGGAGGGCTGCTTCTGGGAGGGAGGGGAAGGATGGCATCGCACAACCCCAAAAGTATCTGTGGAGGACTGCCAATGCCAGGCAGTGTACTGGGGGCTCCCCCACACAGCTCTCCATCCTCATGGCCCTATGAGGGAGTTCCGATTATCCCCACTTTAGAGATGGGGGAACTGAATGAATCTCGGTGCATATAAGCACTTTCCTAGGACATGGTGGCAAAGCCATGTCCCCTGATTCTGCAGGTGCTTCTGTTTGAGCACAGCTGCGCTTCCCAGGACCCCTGACCCACACCCCCACAGCCACCCTTAGTGTGTCACATCAGTTTCTGTCTGTCACATTCCTCAGCTGTCTGTTCTTGGAGCTGGGGGTACACAGGGCCTTCTCCTTACCCTCAGAGAAAGCAGAACTGAGCTGACTCCTCCCGCAGCTCCTGAAGTCAACAGATCCGTGCCAGGATCTCAGGCAGATGCTGGGAAGGGGCAGCTGGGGAGGGGACATAGGATATGAAGGTCACAGTCCTGCCTGTAGGGTCTTACCATCTGGAGAGACAGGATGTGCCCAGAGGAAGCTGTAACTAGCACCTCAGAATAGCCTATGTGCCCGATGAGTCATGCCCACAGGTCAGTGCGCCGGGAGCTCCCAGTCCAGGGTGGGCAGGTTCCAGCAAAGATGGTAGTGATGCCTTATATTTCTACAACACATTTCGGTTAATGAAGGATGCTCACAAGCTCACTGTCATTGAAGCCTTGCTCTCACTTGAGCAGAGTAAGGCACCATGTGTGTCAGGCAGCCAAAGAGCTTTTTCAACATCACTCACTGATATAAGAATTAATTTTGTATACAGGTCTGGGTTCAAATGTCAGTTTTACCACTGATGAGGTATGTGGCCTTAGGCAAGTTACTTAAACTTAGGTCTCAGAATCCTAATCTGTAAAAAGGAGATAATAGTATGTCCTTCCGAAGGCCATTACAGGGATCAAATAATGAGAGTCAAGGACTTGGTAGATGTTAAGTGCTGTGCATTTCACAGCTATCTTATGTGGTAGTTTTTTCCCATTTTTATAGATGGGGAAACTGAGGCTCAGAGAGGCTGAGTAGTTTATCTACAGTTTCACAGCTAATAAGTGGTGGACCTAGGATTTGAACACATATCTGGCTGCTCCCAAAGCCCATGTTCTTCCCCACTGTCCCATCCTGTCTCACCGTCCATGTGCTAGAGTGTGAGTTTGGTGCAGAGAGCTGGAAGCAGAGTCAGTGTGTCTAGTGAGGAAATCCTTCAGGGCAGTTTGGAAGGCCAGACAGGGATTCCCAAGAACCTAGACATGCCAGAGCTGTGGCCTGGAGGTAGGTTGGGAGGATGATCACCTGGGCCACTCACTGAGTGGCTCCTAAGGGTGGCTGCAGGATCCCTGGGGAAGCATCACTCCATGTCCCACAATGCCAGGCTGCAAACACACCTCTCTGGGCTTGCAGATTTCACTGTGACCAACCTCAGCATCTTCTTCGCCTCCGTCCTGCTGCTCAGCGGAGCCCTGGCCTACTGCCTGGCCCTCCAGCTGTACGTGCGGCGCCAGGGGAAGCTGCCCGCGGTCCTGGTGAGTGTCACAGGGAGGCCTCAGCCCCGTCCTTCCCGGCCACACCAAGAGTCGGAGGCCAGGCACTCTCTCCCAGCCCTCCATTCCCCCAGCCCTGACATCATCAGGGGGTGCCTTTGTCACACACTGTGGGGACAGAAAGAGGACTTGAACACAAAATCCCAGAGCTGAGAACATTGCCTTCAAGGGCCCAGATAGCACACATACTGAGTGCCCCAAATCCCACATGTCATTTTGTTGCTATTTACTGGTAATTGGCCATGGACCCACCCCTTTGCGTTGGTACTTCTAGGCAGGTATGGTCATCCTTTTTTACAAGTAAGGAAACTGAGGCGTAGAGAGATTATTACATGCAGAGCATCACACAGCCAGCAAGAGTCAGGATGGAGCCGTCTTTCCCAGCCCCAGCGGCTGGAGATGAGGGCTCTGGAGGAGGGGCAAAGGGCTGAAGTGCCAGCCCTGGGCTGCTGTCAGAGCGGAGAGGAGATGCGGAGGGGAGGGCTCATGGAGGACACTGGCATCACCACCCCTTCCAGATGACCCCCTTTTGCTGCACAGAGCTGACCAATGTTGTGTTTGTGGTAAGCCAGCCTCCAAAACTCCACTTGGCACACTGAACAACAATTCCAAACCTCAGCCTGCCTCTGGCCTGGGAGTCAGGCTGCTCCACGGCTGCACCCCACATTCTCTGCAGCGGGCATTGCTGTGACGGTTGGGGGCTCAGCTGGGAAGGGCCCACTGCATCAGGGAGGCAGAAGGCCCAGGAAAGCTTGCAGCTGGAAGGGTACCTGCCAGGGGGATCCCAGCATCTCTAGGAAGAGTAAGGAGAGCGAAAAAACCCTCTGGAATTAATATGAGTGAGAAATCCAGGAAGTGGGGAAGCAGGGAGAGAAGAGGAAGGGGTGCGCCTGCCTGGCCTAATTAGGGCCTTTGTCCAGAGGAAAAGGAACTGCGTTTCCAGCTCCTGGGAAGAGAGGTGTGAGCCGGAGACTGGGCAGGCAGCACCTACAGCCTTAGGGGATAATAAAGGTCTCCCTTGTGTCTAGCTGAAACGTTAACTGCGAGCCCTTTCTGGGTGCTCTGGGGCGAGGCCGTGCCACAAACACATATGACCGCCTTTTAAACAAGTACTTTGAACATAGCCTACATGCAGGGCCCGCAGCTGGGGTGGGTGTGGTTTACAGATGAGTATGCCACGGGGCCTGCCTCCAGGGCTGGAGAACCAGGAAGCAGGGGGGTAGGAGAGGGCTGGTCCTGGTGCACTGGATTGGAGATTCTTAGGCATCAGGAAAAGCATCTAGGAAGAGGGTAGATGAGGTGGCAGTTGAGCTACAGTTATTGAGCACCCTTGCCATGCAAAGTGTGTGTGGGAAGAAGCTGATTAATGTGGCCGCTGGTCCCTAAAGGTTTGGTACAGCCTGGCGGGGAGGGGGCGTGGCCAATGGATGAACTATTAACTCTAATGCAAATCACTGAAATAGACACAGATGCAAAAATGCCAAAGGAGATACCAAGCAACCTCTGGTTTTTGTTACGTTTGTATGATTGAATCAGAGTTAAGTTGTCCTTGAGAGGTTTTTCCTCCCGAAGATAAATACAGCCCAATTCCCTGCTTCTAGAACCATGATCATTACTAACTTTATGAATAACTGACATACACAGAGCACTTTCACATTCATTCGCTTGTTCCCATTGATTAGCTGCTTGGAACTGAATCTGTCAACAATATATCAAGTTAAGTATTATTGGGCAAGTAAGGATCTCAAATCAGGACAGCTGAGTACAAATACCAGGTTTGTTCTTTGCTGCTGTGGAACTTTGGACAAGTCATTTAACTTTTGAGGTTCAACTTTCTCCTCTAAGAAATGCAGATAATAAAACTGCTTTAGAGCATTACTGGAGAAAAATTCAATTCACCAAATATTGAGTACTTTCTATGTACCAGGCACTGTCCTAAGCACTTTACATGCATTAACCACGATGTGAGGAGGTAGGTACTGCCATTATTTCCATTTTACAGGTGAGAAACTAAAGTACAGAGAGGATAAATAATTTGGCCAAGGAGACATGGCTGACAAGCAGCAGAGCTGGGATTTGAGGCCATGAAGTCTGGCTCCTAATACACATCCTTAATCACCAATCTGTGACATTAATAGGAACTCAACCAATAAGAGTTGCATTAGAGTTATCACATACAAAGGGAATGAAGGCAGATGTGCAACAGTGAGTCAATAAGTCAGTCAACAAACCTTATGAGTTCCTGCTATGTAGCAGTTCAGCAGAAAACAAATTTTTCACAATTCCAGGAACTAAGTGCTCAGGAGAAGTAAACTCAGCTGACGTGGAGAGTGTCCAGTCCACTGCTTTAGCTGGGATGATCAGGAAGGCCTCTGTGAGGAGGTAACATCTTAGATGAGACCTGAGTGATAGGGACAGAGCCACACAAAGTGCAGAGAGGAGTATTCCAAACAGGAGTAGCATGTGCAAAGGCCCTGAGACAACACTGAGCTGCTGTGTTCCAGGGCAGAAAGAGCACCACTGTGCCTAGGGCAGAAGAGCAAGGTGGGGGAAGGAGTTAAGTGACTTCCTGGGACCCTTGGCAGTGAATGGGGAGCAGGTTATTGTCAGCTGCTAATTCTGTGCTTGTTCCACTGTCCCACATGCAGCCACCCTGTGCTTGTGTGAGTCGAAACCCAGGGAGAAATTAATTTGGTGTCTCACATCTAGCATTTAAAAAAATGAAATGGATAGGATAGAATAGGGTAGGGTAGGATAGAATAGATCATGGTACTCAGGTAGTAGTGATAAGTATTATTTTGTGAAACTGGTTTCAATTATTTATATGTGAGTTATATATTTATGGGCTATATGTATATATGGGTTATTATATAACATGTTTCTTCTCATAGCCAAAAAAGCTTGGAACACACTTGTTGGATAGGTGCCGCCTGCTTTCAGGCTGGAGAAGCACTGCTGATGGGGCCCCTGAGAATGTTCAGGCTCCCACTCTGCCTATCAGTCCAGCTGGACTCTGAGGACACAGGCTTCTTCTGTGTCTGGCTTGAGCCAACCTGGGAGGTGCATTAGGAGGAAAGCTCAATTCGGAAATGAACCAAAAAGAGCTTGTGGCAGTGTGATCCAGGCTCCTGTCCCACATCGGAGCAATACCTCCTTGAGCTCCACCCCGGCCCCCTGACCTCGCCTGGTGACACTGGGGTGGATGCCTGCAGGCGCCTCCCCCACTCACTCTGCTGTCTTCTCTCCAGGTCTTCAAGGAGCCCAGTCCCTTCAGCCTCATCAGCCAGCTTCCCTGGCCAGAGGCCAGAGACGCCATCCATGCCCTGGATGAGGAGGCCCTCCCCAAAGTGTTCCCAGAGCTGAGGAACTCGGAACTGCATGGCAGCACTGACAGTGGCTTTGGCAGCGCCAAGCCATCCCTGCAGACCGAAGAGCCCCAGTTCCTCCTCCCTGCCCCCCAGCCCCAGGCCAGGGGGACCCTGAGGCAGGGGGCAGCCCTGGGGCTGGAGAGCAGCAGCGACAGCACGGACAGCGGGATCTGCTTGCAGGAGCCCAGCCTGAGTCCCGGCCCGGGGCCCGGCTGGGAGCAGCAGGAGGGGAGCAACAGCCAGGGCCAGGACGACAGTGGCATCGGCCTAGCCCAGAACTCCGAGGGGCAGCCTGAGGACACACAGGGTGGCTCAGCCTTGGGCCACGTCAACCCCCCAGGACTGGAAGGGCCTGGGGAAGAAGACCCAGCCGTGGTGGCATTCCAGGGCTACCTGAAGCAGACCCGATGCACAGATGCACTGGAGGAAGACTTCTCCCTAGCAGATGGCCTTGGCCCCAAATTCAGGACGTGCCTGGATGCCGAGGCAGGGTGGCCTCCACCAGCCCCGGCAAAGGGCTATTTGAAACAGGACCCCCCAGGAACGACTCTCACCCCCTCAGGGGCCCCAGCGGGACAGTGGAACCAACCAGCCAAGGAGTGGCCGCTCCTGGGCTTTCCCAGCAGCGGCGACCTGGGAGCATCTGACTGGAGCTTTGCCCAGGATTTTGGCGCTCTGGACTGTGGGGCAGCCCCAGGTGGTCTCCTGGGCAGTTTTGACTCAGACCTGGTCACCCTGCCATTGATCTCCAGTCTGAACTCGAATGAGTGACTCAGGCCAAGGGACCACTTACGATCTCAGCCAAGCCCTGCCCAGACCACGGGAAGGGGCCCCAGGGCTCAGAAGTAAAGCATGAGGCCAGTCTGGGCACTTCTCTGCCAGCCCAGCAAGGGGCGAAGGTGCCCAGGGCAGGGGGAGGCTGCCTGGATGAACTAGAGCAGGGTGTGTGGGTGGCACTCGTGTGCTCTGCGGACAGGGCCCTATAGACAGCTTGGGAGGGCAGAGCAGAGACCTCCCTCCTCAGAACTCTTCCTGTGTCCTTTAAGGATTGGTTGCTCAGGGCAACCATGGGGTTTTCTGGAGTTGTGAGGCCACCAGGCTGAAGTCAGCTCAGACCCGGCCTCCCGCTTAGGCCGGCCACATGTCAGGGCCTCCAGCAGGGTGGAGGGCTGGGAAGATGGGGGCTTCAGGGTCTTGCTGCAGGAGTATTTCTAGGGGGAAGGAGGGAGCAGAGACCAAGTTCCATGTGTGGGATGGTCAGCACTGGCCATCAGCCTGGGAGCGCACATGGCGAAGCCCCCTTCTGGCAGTCTCTGTCAGGGAGCTGCCTGTCACGAGGATCTCAAGGTGCGTCTGCCCTCGTCAGCCAATCATCCATCACTGTGGAGCCATAGGGGGACGAAGCCCCCAGTGGCCAGGCCACTCACTATGCCACCCATCTCGCTGACAGTACCAGAGAAACCACGGTTGATGGTATTGGTCAAGACTCAGCCCTTCAGGTGGCCTCTGTGCACCAGCTCTTTTGCCTCAGAGGGTCAGGATTAGGACTGCTCACACCCAGAGACAGGCCCACAGGACATGGCTCTGGGCTGGGATCCCCGCTCTCTCAGTGTCCAGCTTGTCCCACCACTTGTTGGAGGGCCTCAGTTATCCATCTATGAAATAAGGACTCAGTCTTTGGCAGGCCCTCCATGCTGGGTGTTAACCAAGATGGCCACTGGGCCGAGAGAGGAAGTGGACGGCAGAGCCATGTCTGCACCGAGCCAGCCTGCTTCTCATGCTGAGCACGGACATCTAGCAGCAGCCCGTGGTGTCCTGCTCAGACAGCTACCAGACGCTGTGCCCAAAAGGACATAGGCTTTCCCACAGTCAGTTTGAAATCTGCTAAGCCAGTTTGCAGTCTGTGGGCCAGGAAGCTGGGAGGAGTGACAGGCCTGGGGTGTGCCCCCTGGAGTTCTCCATTGGCCCTGCATCTCTCTGTGGCATGCCAGTAGGCATTCCAGCCAGGGAACCAGTCAGAACCCCTCCATTCTGCCAAAAAGCTCTTAGGTGCCAGTCCAATAACTGAACTCCCTCAGGAAACTCAGGCTTGAGGGCTTCCTCAGGGTGCCCTTGAAGGCTTATTTTATTTATTTTGTTCATTTATTTATTGAAGAAGCAGCCAAGGACAGTGAAAGAATTCTGAGTGTCCCCAGAGTCTGGGAGTTCCAGTTCTGACTCCGCTGTTTGTAGCATTGTGTGACCTTGGGAAAGTCACTTTTCCTTATCTGTAAACTGAGGAACCTCAGTTTCCTCATCTGTAAAACTAGAAAACAATGCCTGGCTTGTTTAATTCACAAGGATGTGGAGGTGGATCAGATGAACACAAAGCTCTGTAAATGAGTGATGATATTTTTTATGTCAATAAATTGTCAGGACAAGAATCTTGTGAAACCAGTCTGATTTCTGATGACACAGTGGCCAGTTGAGGACTTAAGATATTGACGATATGGAGTAAGATGTACCTGGCACTTTAAAGTAACAGGAGTGAGCTCAGGCGCAAATCAGAACCAGATAGAAGTCACCCTAACATTTATGGTCTGCCACCTTATCCTAAGTTCCTGTTTCCTCCCATCTACAATGGGAATAACAACTCCTGGGGATGTCGTGAGGTTTTAATGAGATCACATATGAAGTTTAACATGGTGCCAGACACACGGTCCTGCATGCATCAATTACGGTTATTGGCTCTTAAAATGGCAAAGGGAAATGGAAAGTTATTCCTGGAAGCAGGTGGAAATGGAAGAGATCATGGAAGTGTATATAATGAAAGAATACATAGAGAGGTTCTTTCCAAAGAGGAAATGGTGGGAAGTACAGTGCAATGGTTTGGGGCTGAATTCTGACAGCCGGGAAGGGAGACCTTGAAGGCCCTCTTTTCCAGGAAGACAGCAAACCGGACCTCCCTGGAGCCCCGCCGCCTGCTCCCCTTGGCCTAGAGGTACGTCCCAGCGGTGCTTCTCATAAGTGCGGAAGCCGTCCGCACGCCGTTCTAAAACGCAGCCTGCTCTTTCCACGAAAAACCACATGTGGGTTGAACCTTTCCCCAGGCTCAGCCCAGCAGGTGGAGCAAACCCAGGGCCCAGCACCTGAATCTCTGGTGCACTTTGCTCTTTGTCCCAGTCCAGGTCCTTGAGGAGGTGACCGGGGACACCTGGTCTCTTTTCCTTGGTATCACCCCTGCCCCTTTTCACTATGAAAATAATGGGTTCTTGGGAAGTGCTGATTCTATCATCTTCAGAGAACTTGACTAATATCACACGTTTGGGACCTCACACTGCTGCCCTGGGGGCCTCCTTGTCCTTTTGGTAGGACTGTGGGGTTGGTCACTTCCTCCTGGAGAAGACTGTGGAGATGGCTTCTGCCAGCAGGGAAAGGACCCCTGGGGCAGGCAGGCTGGATGAAGACTAGCTGAGAGGCGAATATAAGCACTCAGAGCCTTCGGAAGAGACCAAACGCGGAGAGCTGGAGGGACCCGGAGGAGGGGCTCTGGCTGCTGGCACCCCTATTCTGGGTGCCAGTAGGAGTTTGCACTGGGTCCCCTCTGCCTTAAAGCTGCTCCCTGCCTGCCAGCAGCCAGGGCTGCAGGAGAAACCGAGTCCTTCCCAACAGCCGGGCGGTGGGACCCTTCCAGGCTTCTCAGGAATTTGGATTAAAGTCCCCAGCAGAAGGTCCCATTTGTTCTTAAACTGAGTAATCTCCTTCTAGGGCTTTCCCAGGCTGAGGAATGTGTGATTCTGCGTTACTGTGAGCTAATGGAACTTCCTCTTAGTAAGGAGAGAGGGGAAATGGGCCACCATTGACCAAAGAGGAAATTCTATTGAACTGTGTTTTCCCAACTTTCTAAACAGCCGTAGTCTAACAGTCTGCCTTGTCTTCCGCCAGAGACCTCCATGCCTCCCCGACCCACCCCCGGTGCATACCCGGTCACAGAAAACAGAAGCTCTAAGAAGGCACTCACCCACAGAGCGCACACCGCCCCGCGATGGAGGTGCTCTGAGCCCCGCATGCCAGGCGAGGGAGCTGCAGGCTCCCAGGCTCCCACCTGAGCCGGCGCACGAGGGTAACCTGGTGAGGCAGGTTCGAGCAGTTAGGGCTGATTGCATCAAGCCTCAACCTAAAGGACACGAGGCGGTGGGAGGCATGACTCATCCATTTCCTGTAGTGCTCATGAGTTTGAGGGTTTCTTCTGCAGCAAATTCATAATTTAAAGTCAAGTGCCTTTTTATTAACGACCCATAGCACCTTTCCTCACCTTCACCTTGATCTCAACTTCACCTCAGTCCATAAACATTTGAGAAGGATGGTGGGGCCCAATGAACGCTCTGGCGAGGGAGGGCTGGGTCAGGTGAAATTAGTGTTGTGATAAGACAACCCTGGCTGAAGCTTTAAGGAGTCAGAAAGGATGGGGAGGGGTGCAGGGAGGGCTCACTGGAGCCGTCTGTAGTCAGCATTTCACTTCTTCCAGAAACCTGTTATTAAGCATCTACAATGAGACATGGTGCCCAGCCCTAGGTCCTAAGTGGTGAACAAACGAGGCATGGCTTCATGCAGGATGTCATCCAATTATGAAGAGAATCATCAAGCCAATTAAGAGACTCACAAATACATGATTGCAATCACTGATAAGTGAAAGAAACTAATACTCCACAGGAGGGATGGAGGCTGTCTTAGCCCGGGCTGCTGTCACAAAGGACCAGAGACGGGGGGTGGCTTAAACAATAGACATTTATTTCTCACAGTTCTGGAGGTTGGGTGGACCAAGACCAAGGTGCCAGGGGATTTGGTTTTCAGCAGGAACCCTCTTCTCAGCTCGCAGAGGGCCTTTGTCCTCACATGGAGGGGAGGAGGGAGGAAAGAGCACTCCGGTCTCTTCCTCTTCTTAGAAGGACACTCACCCCCTCCTGGGGCCCCACCTTCAAGGCCTCGTCTGACCCTGATGGCCTCCCAAAGGCCCCAGCTCTGGACACCATCACGGTGGGGAAGAGGGAGGTGATGCATTCTGGCTTCCATGACCAATCAGCCAAGGACAGGGTCCTCCAGGGTTGGCAAGGCAGGCCTGGCGCTAGGTGAGGGCTGAAGCCTGGGAGTTTCGGATGGGAAAGGCTTTGTGCTCACTAAGACCTCCCAGGGGGTGAGCCCACACCCAGCGTGTGGAGCTGAGGACATGGATGTGGACAAGACCACCAAGCCCCCTGCAGCCGGCGTGCAGCTGGATCCATCACCAGCTCGAGAGAACCAGGCTGCCACCCCTTTGCTCTTCCAGGGATGGGAGCCACGGCTGTGCTTGCAGACCCCAGCCAGGAGCCCCACTGGGGCCATGTTCCTTCGACAACCACAGCCCATCACGAGGGTGCAGCTGAAGGTTTTCAGTGAATCAGCTCATCTGTAGGTCTGGCGAGGCTCTGGAGTGGGCATGGGCAGGGGTACCTGGTGCATGACTGGCAAAGGTCTGGGTGTACAATGCTACCCCTGCAGACCTCAACCTGAGGGGTTGGTGGAGGTTCAGGCCTCACGATGACCCTGGAGGGGAGAGAAACAGTCTTCAGGATCCTGCTTCCGGGCCACCCTAACCCTGCCAGTACTCCTTGCCCTCCACTTCCCAACACTGCCTATCCCCAGGGGCACTTTGTCAACATATCACCTTGTCTTGCTGATGGGTTTCAGCCCCGGGCAAGTTCGCTATGGATTCAATGTGACCAAAGAAATTGACAGCAAAACATTCTTGGGGTGAACAGCTTATACCCAACTTTATTTCCAGGTGGCAGGTCAGTCACTAGAATCCCATTCACTCAGAGCGAGTCTGTATACAGCAAACCAGTCTCTGCCTCTGGGCCCCTCTGTCCGCACAGCCATCCTCTGGGCCTCTATCCTCAGCGCTGCCAGCACTCCAGCCTCTGCTCTGCTCTCCTGCAGCCTTGCAGCCCTGCCACCGTGTCATGCCCAGAGCACTGGGCAGAGCTCTTTATGGTCAACAGCCATGTATTACCCACAGGTGTGCAGTGAGCTAGTCAGCCAGGGCCAGGTGAGAATCCTGGCCACAGGAACTCTCATTTTATCCACACACCTACTTCAGAATCACATCAGGGTGCTTGTCTTCCTAAGCTTCTCCCCAAGGCCCAGAATTTCTGAATTCTATTTCCCAGGGCCTGCTTAGTAAACACGTTACAAGCGATCAGGTGGCAGGTGATGCCCATCACACTAAATTGTGAGAGTCCTTCCTTTAGAGAATAACTGGATTTGCTCCCTGACCCTTCTCTCCCCACTGCCCCTAGCTGGTGCCACCCAGTGCATACCATCCAATGTCCCCCCGGATGCTAATGACGTCCAGGACTTCTGCCCTGATCTCTGCCGCCTCCTCAGCTGCTCCGTGTGTTTGGCCAGCATGAATCTCCAACTTACCATATCTACAGCAGAACTCTGGGTTCCCGCACACCACCATTCCCCCCCAGCTCCCTTCCTGAGTAAACGGTGCCTCCCCTTCACACCCCACATCTGATCCATCAGGTCGGTCCTTCCAAATACATGATGAATGCAACCCCTTGTTACCACCCCACACCATCATTCCAGTCAAATCCACCATCCTGCCCCACCTGGACCGCTGTTTGTTCCCTCTGCTTCCCCGCCTATTCCCTTAGCCTCCTACGGCTAGATTCATACCGCATGGTCCAGAACAGTAGCCAGTGTGAGCTTCATAAAATACTCCTCCTGAAAGTCCTCTCCTTTGCTCTTGGTCCAAATGAGAGGTGAGACCCAAACGAGCTGGTATCTGCCACCTCTCCCAAGGTACCTCCTGCACTGTCCCCGTGGCCCGCTCTGCTTCAAGTTGATTTCCACATCAGGTCATTTACGCCCCTGCTCTTCCCAGATGTCCTCGTGATCTCCCTTCTCATTTGATTCAAGTGTCTTCTCAACAGCAGCCTCCTTGGAGAGGTCTTTGCTGACCACCCCTCCAGTCATCTTCCCCATCTCCGTTCCACCCCTCTCTATCCCCAGCTTTCCCCCTGCAGAGCACAGGGAAAATCATTATCTGCAATTCTAGGGTCTATTGATGTGTTTCCTTACTCATAATTCTCTCTCTCCCAATAAAATATAAAATCTATGAAGGCAGCAACTTTCTTTTGTTCACTCCTGCATTCTCACAACCTAGAACATACAGTAGATACTCAGTGTGCCTTTGTTGAATGAATGAATGAGCAAATAAGTAAATAAAGAAATGAATATAGCCCTACAGTATAAAGTGGTAAGTGCTATCTTAGCCAGGACTGCCCCTCCAGAAGCCGAACCTGATTCAAGGTCTTCGGGCAGCTGGTTTATTTGGAAGGCGATCACAGGGAACAAGAGAGACCAAGAGAAGAAAAAGCCAAAAAATAAGAATATGGTATCAAGCTAGTCATGCTGGGAGCAGCTAGGCCTTGATCTCACTGGAATATTCCTTGCAGCAAGTAGAGGCCTCTTCCAATTATTCCCCGAGCCTTGACAGGAGAAGCGGGTCTATCAGCTCCTGCACCCTGCTGGCTTAGACTTCTCCCAGAAGTGTGACTCCTCTGTACTCTCAAACTGCTGGTGTTCAGGGCTGCACGGGCTTCCCCAGAACAGGAGGCACCAGGGCAGGGCCTGAGTGATGTAGTGGGCACTGGAGATGAGACTCATCAGTGCAGAGGAAGGTGCAGTCCAATCAGAACTGGCTGGAATCAGAGGTGGAGCCGAGAGGATGTGAGCTTAATTCATACCACGTAGTCTAGCACAGTAGCCCTAAGAGGCATTAAGAGGCATCTGCTGTCCATGCTGGGTCAGATATGTGCACAGGGGTCATAGAAGGGGCTTTTGGCCCAGCTGAGATGTTCAATGCACATTAGTCGGGCTGAACTGAAAAAAGTGGAATACGTGATTTTTAAATTATGCTAAGTGAGGTTGGGAGACTCTCCCGAATTTGAGAGATGGTAAGATCTGATCGCACAATTCAAACGTGGGGCAAGGAGATGACACACGCAGAACAAGCCCGTGTGGTGGAACAAACAAGTGAAGAAAGCAGGCCACTCACATGCGGGGGTGGGGGTGTCCACCAGCCCACCCAGGCTTAATGGACAAGTGCATGGACAGGCTTCCATGACAGGGCTGTCAGTCCGGAGATGCCCCAAGGTGACAGGAAGAGGTAACACCCCACGGAGCGAAAGAATGTTGGGCGGGTGGGGAAGAGAGAAGACCTGGGATCGAGGCTCACCCAGCGCAGTCATGCTGTGTCAGCTCTGGGCCGCAGTCTTCTCATCTGCCAGTTGGAGAGAGAAGTCTTCAGTCCCACTTCTCTCATTAACGCCTTGGGCACATTGCTACAGAACGGACTATATTCAGTGCTCATTTCACTGCGAGCCCTTAGCAGAAACTCCTGATTTATCTCTGAATCTTTCACACCCAACCAATGCCTAATACACAGCATAGGTGCTTGGGAGATCTGTGATGAATAAATAAACGCATGGCCAGATGGGTTTCCTCACAAGGAGGGGCGCGTGGAGGAAGCGAGGCGGACTATCCCAACGGGAGACGGCCGTGGTGGTCAGGGCGCCTGCAGCTGCATGCATGCTTGGGAGACGTTAGACTGCACCCAAAAGAAAGCAGGCTGTATTTAAGTTTTATTTAAAATTTTGTTTTCAGGCTTGTGATCTTCTTAGCTCACTCACAGCATACCATGATTTTTCCCTTCCCTGATCTTTTTACCTTTCAGTTCTTGGGTGTTATAAGGACTCAGGGCAGCAGACCAAACAGGAAGTCTAGAGCAAAGGGATGTGGTCAGGGGGCAAGGCCGAGGAGCATGAAAATAGTTGCCATGCAGTCATTCACTGTTCAGCATTCATTGAGCATCTGCCACAGGCAGGCCTTCTGGGAATACGGTGGGCAACAAGACACAATCCCTCTCCTTTTTGGCTTTCCTCTGCAGCACACACGCACACATGCATGCACACATGCACACATGTACACACACACACACACACAGGTGTCTCTGCGTTCCACCTCCCCCTCCCCCTCCCCCAACACTGCGGAGCTGAAGCCACCCACCATCTGAAATAACCTCACAGCTGGAAGTGACCTCAGCATCCTCAAGTCCTACTGCAGCCTGATACAAACAAGTCACCTGGGCCACCAACGAGTGGGGCTAGAACAGAAGCCGCTTCTTATATTTTCCACCCACCTCCCTCCGGGAGGTCCCTGCCTACATGGGAGAAACCTCATGCTAGGCTTCAGGGAGCGGGGCAATTCCCACAGCTCTGCAGGCAGAAGTCTAGGAGGCTGGGAGCCCACCAAGGCCTCAGCCTCCCGCGCCGCCCCACCTGCTATTTTGGTGGCCGGCTGCTCTCTGGGCAGGCAAAACATTTTCACTTCTGGTCCCCAAATGTGAGAATTCACCAGGCCACTAGCTTCCTGTTTTGTACCAGATCTGGTTAAATATCATCCTTTTAGATGGTTTTTGATCACTAAGCAGTTTTTTAAAAATAACAATGATATTCTCATCTGCTCCCATTTTGAAGTTTTCAGATCCCTGGGGCAGAGTGAGGGACACCGTAGATGGCAGTCCCTCTACAGCCACTGGCTCAAAGCAAGGTCATTATGACAGAAAGCGAACCTACGGAAGAGCAGAGCCCCTTTCTCACCTGCCCAGCCCCTCCGTGGGCTTGACCACGCCTTAGGTTACACCTTAAATAGAAAAAGCCACTGTCTATGCGGGCTCTGTCTCCAGAACTCTATCTGAGGATGATCACAGGGTTGAACATAATTGAGGATGGGAAGTGGGAAGAGAAAAATCAAAAGCTTTGGTTTCAGAGCACCCAGGATTGGACCTGGGACAAGGCACAGCCCAAGATTCCCTGAAGAGACTGAGGAAGCCTTCAACCTAGTTTCCTGAAAAGTTCCTGGCTATGGCAAGAGCCATACTAGGCACCATAGAGAATTCAGGGGAGGCAGAAGGCCTGAAGTCTGCCTGCAAAAAGGGCCCATCAATCAGGAGAGAGCAAGGTTAGTCTCGAGAGAAACTGGGTGCCTAGTACAGTTCCTGGCATATTCTAGAAGCTGCATGAATGAATGAATGGATACAAGGGAATAATCAACAATTAAGTTATGGGAGCCAGAGAGCACTTCTAATTTATAGTACATATATTATATATAAATTTTCATAACATGTTATAAATGTTAAGTAATAATTAAAAGAAGACAATAAGGCCTTGAAGAAGGCTCCCTGGGGAAGTGAGAATTGAGCTGGCATAAAGAATGGGCAGAATTTGATGCTTTGGACACCAAAGGGGGTATGAAAAATAAAAGGAAGAATGTAGAGTGTGTCAGTGAGAAGTTCAGAGCTGAGGACAGGGTCTTGGGAGCCCAGGCTGCGGAGAAGCCCCCTCCCCACACCAGGGGACTCGGCAAAGGGAGGAGCCTGCTCCCCTGGGGGTCAAGGAGCTCAGGGAAGCTGCCAGCTCGGGCAGAGGATAAACGTGGGTGGCGAAGATCATAATGAAAGTCCATTCTTGCCTGGCCTTACGCAGATCATTTCCCCAGACCCTGAGCCTCTGTACCTTCGCCTGTGAGGGTGGCGCGCCCACCCTGCAAACGTCACTGTTCAGCTTCCGCGGGAAGAAGGGTTTGCTGGGAATGGTTCAGTCCTGGGTGCCGGTCTGACTCATCCGAGGTCAAAGGAAAGCTGAGTGATATTCAGGATCCTAGACCTTTGGGGTCTGAAGGCCTGTGCGAGTCACCTTTCAAAGGCCACCTCCTAAGTTATAACGTCAGGACTACACTTGGTGCTTGCATCTTTTGTTTATTGAATGCCTGCTATATGCCAGGTCCTATGCTATGCACTGAGAATATAGAGGTTTTCCTAGAAAAAAACAGGTAAGATCCTTTTTCTCCTTCAAGTGAAAAAGAAGAACTTTGGAGAACTAGTCCAATCCTTTGATTTCCAGATGCTGAAATATGTGCCCAGGGTGACAAAGTGGCTAGCCCACGGCCACACAGCGTGGCAGGGCCGTCAAGACCAGACCCTGTTCTACAGTGTGCAGTCCTCATCCCGTGCAGCCCTGAAGTCAGGCCACATGTGTGAGACCCCAGGACAGTCAGTGGCTGGCTGTGCAGCCTTAAGCAGCGTGTGCTACCTCGCTGAGCCTCAGTCTCTCCATACATAAAATAAGGCCAGTGAACACCCCCTTATCACAAGGTTGCCGTGATGCTTGGGATGTGGTGATGTGCCCAGAAATGCCTGGTACTCTTTAGACTGTGTGCTGCGTAGGCAGCTTCTGCTCCTCAGTTCTCCTGGGCATGTTTCTCTAGGGTGAGGCAGCCTTCCATGGCCACACCAGCTGTTTCTTCCATGCCTGTTTCTTTAGCCGGCACTTACATTTAGCATCTCCTATGTGCTCCCCATTTAACGGTTACTAAAGACCTATGGGACATAACCCTGCCCACAAATTGCTCAGCCTGGTTGGGGAACAGCACAGATGGAGAAAAATGTGACTATTGTTAGGACCAAAATGGGGGCGTCGAGTCTAGAATCATGAGGGAAGTGATAGGAAAGAGACTTGAGCCGACCACGGAGAATAGATGAGGGAGGTGGGTGGCATTCTAGGCAGCCCCAGCAAAGGCACCAAAGAGGAAGGGGGTGGCAGAGGCCAGGGAATGCCAGCCTAGAGAGCTGCTGGCTCCTGGGACTGTGTCCTGGCTCTGAGGGCCGGTGGGATGGAGAACATCTAAGAGGAGAGGGAGGCTCCCAGGGAGGCCCTTGCATGGCCTGGCTCCGGATGCTAGGGCAGTGCCCAGCGCAACCAGATATGTAGCCAGATTTCTGGGCCTCTGCCCCCTACACATCTCCAAACTAGCCAGATCTGCCACTTTAGGGTCCTCATTAGAAACATGGAGAATCCCTAGGGTGGGGGCTGGGGCCCAAGGGTGAAGAAAGCTGTGCTCACCAGTAGGACTGCGGAAGTCAGGGAAAAGAGGGGGAGGCAGAGAGGACAGGGAACACGTCAGACGACCCGAAAAGAGGAAGTAGCCCAGTCTCAGTTCCTCTGCCAAGGATGGGAAATACCCTCGGTGCTCCCAGGCGTCAGCAGCTGTCCCGGTCTCCTCACCTGAAGCCACCCAGACCAGGCAGGACCACGCGGGCCCTGGGCCCCGTCTTCTCAGGTTTCCCCGAGGCAGCTGGGCCCTGAGCACTTCCAGGGGGCTTAGAGGGGCCCTGCATGGACTGAAGACCTGGGGTCCATGCTGAGCAGGGCATGGTTGAGAGTTTTACTGAGGCTGGACATCCCATGGGTTAAGGAAAGGGGCCCGGCCCCCAGAACAGAGAACCAAGGAGGAAGGATGCCACGGTTGGCCCATCTCCTCGGCCCGCTCCTCCCCCACTAGGCCATCAAGGGAGGGAGGGTCCAGAGCCCCTGGGGGTTCTATCCCACCCCCGCCTCTTCAGGGACAGAAGATTGGGACCCAGCTGAAGACCTCCAAATCCAGAGACATGGTTGATTAAGTCAGAGCCTGGCTACGCGGGCAAAATGGTCCCCAGGCCTGGTGGGAAGTGTGGGGTGGGAGCTGGCAGGTTCCCTCTCTCTCCTCCCTTACCCTGCAATCTTCTACTATCCAAAGCAAGAAAGAAACCAGCCTCAGGAAAGAGTATAGGAGGGCAAGTAGTAGGACTTCTCTCCCCCTCACTTATCACTGTCCTGGGCTCCCGCGTCTTGCTGGGACATCAGCAGGAAGACAGGGGACTGGGAGCTCTCCTAACTGCAGGTTCTGGGGGTGGCGGCGCCCCTCCAGGCCCTGCTCCACCCACAGCTGCCCCAGGAGCTCAGCCCGTCTGGACTGAACAACTGTGCTTGGAAGCATCCGCTAAGATGCCATCCCAGTGCAGACTCCACCTCAGGCCCAGTAGGGCACAGAGCAGAGGAAGAAGGGATGACTCGGTGTCCTGCCACCCACCGAGCTGCGCTTGGCTCTTGATTTCCCAGGTGCATTATCTGGTTTCTGCAGGCTCGACTGGATTCCTCCCCAACACTCCCACCACTTCTGGTCCACCTTCCCCATCCCAGGGCAGGCCTCGCCCAGGGCCTAAAGAGCACTGGGAGATAGAGAACCCCCTGCCCCATGCCCACCCCATCACAGGGTCCTAGAAAAATAAGAGCACATTTCTCAATTGTTCTAAGCACTGCCTCAGAATTGTTTGTGAGTCGCTGAGGCTGGTCAGCAGCAGGGAAAGCAGACCCAGATGGGGAGCGTCAGGGACGGCTGAAAGTGCCAGAACCCGGCACAGCGGGGATAAGGCAGAGAAAAGGCCCAAGCCCAGCCTTCAGCTCTTACGGGAACTTGACTTCTGATAGGAAGGTTAAAAACAGTCTGGAATCACCACCATTCCCACGTGACTTTGCCTTTTGAGGATATGACTGGTTTCCCAGCCCCTGGGGTCAGCCCTGCAAGGGGAAGTGACTGGGGACACCCATGCAGACCTCCCCTCTGGAGTCTCCAAGCCCTGTCCACCCTGCGAGGGCTCTGCCCTTCAGGACACCTAGAGCTCCACCCACAGGCCCAGGGGCCTCCCGGGAGTCAGTCCTCCCTCCCTGAGAAGCAGCTGCCTCTAGTTTCCGTGAGAAGGCCGCTGCTACTCTGCCGGACTCCGTGTCCAGAGGCCCGACTCTCCTGGGGACTCTGCCCCCGCAGGCTGGTGGTGCTCCCAGAGAAGAGTCCTCTTGCCCACAGTGAGAGCAGGCCAGGCCTTGAGGGAGGTGAAGGCTGGTGCTGGGCCAGCAGCCATATCTGCAGAAAACGAAGAGGAGCGCAACAAAGAGATGAGACCTGGGAAGGATTCCTCCACAGCACTGCACCTGGCTCGGCTCCTCCAGCGCAAGAGGCACGCGGTGGGGGGAGGGACATGCAGAGAAGTGGACTGTGGTGGTGGGAGGAGATGAAAGAGAAGCTGAGGGTCCACGAGGGACTGCTGGGGGCAGAAGATGTTTGATGGGCAATGGCAACTGTGGGATGGAGAAAGGATGGGCCTGAATGTAAGGGAGGAAAGTTGTGACCAAAGGGTCAGTGGGCTGTGAAGCAGGGATGGCTCTGGGTTTAGAAAGCTCGGAAAGGAAGCTCCAGAGAAGGTTGTCATCTGGTACTTTCAACTCAGAGTAAGGGGCTCAGATAGAAAGCCCTACTCTAGAAGCTTCCATCTGATTAGAAATAGGAACTCCCCAGGATGAAAGGCAGGACATTAGGTAGACAGGTGGAAAAGGAGAAGCCCAGTGCTGGCAGGAGGCAGGGACAGCACAGCCCTGGGCCTTCATCGCTGAGCTCATCTCCTACAGCCCCCACTCCACAGAAGGCGGAGGATGAACCATACCATCTCTCTGGGTCCCAAGCCTGGACCATCTGCGGACCTTCCTGGGACATGAGACTCACTCAGGAGCTCACCGACACCCGCTCACCTGTCTGAGAGGCTCCTGAAGGCTGATGCACCTCTCATCAGACTAGCCTGTTGGAGAACTTCGTGTAGCCACCATCCGGACTGCCGATGTGGCCGCTGATGGTGAAGGGTGGACCCATCTCCAGCTCCTTCAGGTTCCTGAGCAAGATGATCTGATCACATTTGGGGGGCTGAGAAGCTGGCCTCTCCCTGGAGCCCAGCTCCTTAGACCCGGGCATAGGAGGAGCTTTCTGGCAGCAACTCATGGACTCATTGACTTATCTTCCAGAATGGGAGTTACCCCATCTCTCAGTGCCAGACTAGGAACAGGCCTGCCCTGAGGCAGACAGTGGATGCGATGACTTAGGCAGAAAGGACTTTCTCACTCCCACTCCCTAAATCCCTGATTGTTTTCATTTGCTCCTCAACTTGACACCATATTGTGTCTGAGATTATATTCTTTGTTATCAAAACTGTGTCCACCACAGACAGTGAAATGCTTGAAGACAGGGACTATGCTCAGGTATGCTTTATCCTTACTTAGAAACTAAAACCACAATACCTGCTATAATAGGTCCTTTTTGACTAAATGATGAGTAGATGATGAATGATGAGGGAATGAATGAATGAGAGGATGGAAGGATGGATGGATGGAGGATGAATTAATTAATTAATTAATTAATTAATTGATGGATGGATGGATGATAGACAGATGGCAGTCCCTGCCTGGAGGTGAATGTTAAGTTGACCAGTGTCAGCAGGACTGACCTGGACCTGTCCATGTTCAAGTTTATACTCACAGCACGTTCTAAATGGACCCTTCTCCCCTTGTTTGCTTAGGGGCACAGTGAAGAGCCAGGGAAGGGAGACAGTACATCTTGCCTCCACTCTTGATCCTTCCTCAAGCGTACCTCACCTCCAGTCCCCACCCCATCCGGATCTGTACTGAATCTACTCACCGGATTTGGTACAAGTTGAAGACAAAATTAGGCCCTGGGAAGACAATACAAAGAGAAGGTCAGTGCCTCCAGGGAGAGCTATCCATCACCCTCTGGGGACACCTGGTGCCCCCTCACCCCTGTCTGGGAGGAGGAGGCTGAGCTGGGCCTCAGGATGCTGGGAGAAGGTCCGGAGCTCCTTCAGGGTCTGCTTCCTGCCCCACGCCCATGGGCGTGCCCCACCTTCCAAGACAGAATCATCAGCTTTTCAGGAGCAGGTCCTGCCCCTGGGGATCCTCCATGAAGGGCACAGGTTAGCTCAGAAAGGAGGAAGTCCTAAATTGGAGCCCAAAAGCAGCAGACCTGGGCTTGAATCCAACTCCACCACCTTCCCACCCTGTGACTATAGCTCACATCCTCATCAAAAGACAGACCCTAAGAATTCCATCCTCCCATGGAATTCTAAAGAAAACCGTATTGGGCAAAAGTGCGCTGGCCCACGGTAGGTGTTCAGCAAACATTTATGGGGGTTGCTGAAGTTAACTGCCGATCCAGGAAACGTTCTCCCCCTCTCGGCATTCCAGCAGCCCTCCCAGCTCTCCCGTCCCGTGGGAAGTGCAGATATGGACCAGCGCTGGGAGGACCACAGCAAATTCCAGGAGATTCCTGGCAAAGCTGAAGCATCAGCAGCCAGTAGAGGGCCCCAGGATGCACAGGTGGGGGAAGAGGGGGACAAGGAGCCAGCCTGGGGGCACCCGGACTGGGGCCTCTATTGCCCATTGCCCATGACCATGAGGCCCACACAGGCCTGGGGAATGGATTCCTGGGACCCCTGAGGGAAGAAGCAGCTGGCTGCTTGCTGGGGTGGGAGGACCCCCTACTCCGTCCACAAAGGCCCCAGCACTCCACCCCCACCACCTCAAGTACTCAGCCACCCACTCATGTCTTCAACCACTGTGGCCACCACAGGAAATATTTTTGCATGATGCCAGGCTGAAGAGTTTGCAGCCCCACCCGGCTTCAGCAACTGCTACAGGAGAGGAAGGGCTGGGCAGAGGGTGGGGTGACGGGGCCCAGCGCTCACTCACCATCCCAGCAGTACCCGCGCTGGTACCACTTGGCCAGGCTGTAGCCCAGGATGGACACGAGCAGCAGAGACAGCCCCACGCCGAGGATCAGGCCCAGGGTGCTGATGGAGACCTCACCTGCAGACAGACAGGCATCCTTCACCCGGCTGCTCCACTGCCTGGCCTGCGCCATGTTCCAGATTTCCTCTCCTCCCTGTCCGCTGCCAGCAAAGTGTCCCCTAAGCATCTTGGCCTGAGCTCACGGGTGCAGCTAAGCCTACTAAGATGTGAAAGTCTGCTACCTGCTTTGTTCAGAGTTAGCTTGTTTATCCAAAGGGACAGTTGTCCAATAGTGACAGTTTGGAGCTGGGAGGGCTTCCCGAAGCCACAGGCATTCTACTTGAAAAGGCACTGCTCTTTGGAGAAGCTCCCAGGAGGTCTGTCCTCAGCATGAAGGCTGACTACCGGGAAGAGCAGAGACCTGAAGATCCTTGGTACCCTTCCTGCAAAGCCCAGAGAGCCGGTCGGCTCTTTGCCTCTGTTTGCTGCTTTTTCCCTTTTTGTGGCACGAACTCTTAACACATTTATGCCTTATTTGTAGAGCAAAATCAAGAGAGACTGGAAACCTACAGGGTGGTGAGATGGGCTCAAAGCAGAGGCAGAGAGGGTAATCAGCTTTGCAGGAAGAGGCTGACCATGGGAGCCAGAGAGACAACCCACCCCTTGACAGGCAAGGAAGAGGAAGGCCAGCCCCACTGCCGCTAGATGAGGTGCCAGGAGTGTGGAATGATAAACTGATTCCCTGTCTACATGGCCCAGTGTGCTTGCCAAGAGGCAAGGAGGGACAGTGGTTTAAGCACAGCCTTTGACACAGCAGGCTTGCCTAGCAGGCTTCCATCCTTTGCAAAATGCAGGATCTGAGGAAATCCCCTGCCCTCAATAGACTTCAATTTGCTCCTATGGAAACTAAGCATGATAATAAATACATGACACTGGATTGTCAGGTTGATGAATGGGGATGCATGGCTGATGCTCAAAACCTGGTCCAGATGGTGGCCATTGCCATGGGTGCCAGTGTGAACAGATGGCATCAGGAACTATACACGCCTCCCCCACTTTCTAAGTCCCCAAGAAAAGGGGGGAACAGGTATCCCCAAAGCCACTAAAGGCATCTGCTCTGTGCCAGGCACTGTTCTAGGCACTTGTATTACAACAAATGTAAAGCATAAAAATCCCTGTCCTGCTGGAGATTACCAGTGGAGGGAGATACACAATAACAAAGTAAAGAAGTAAATTAGATTGCGTATCGGAATGTGATCCATGCGAGGGAGAAAGAAAGAAAGCAGAGGAAGAGATAAACAGCACTGTGGGGATGAAATGCAGTTTTAAATAAAGAGGCCAGGGAAGGTCTCATGAAGGATGTGACAGTTGAGAAAGTCCCAGAGGAAGTGAGAGAAAGAACAAGCCATGTAGATAATGTTCCAGGCAGAGGGAGCAGCAGGTACAACTGAGGCAGGAGCATGCCAGGCAGCTGCCAGGGGCATCAAGGAGCCCTGAGTGATGAGCAGGGGCTGAGGGAGAGCAGCCAGAGCTGGGATAGTGGGAGGCAGATAGTGCAGAGCTTTGAAGGCAGTGAGGGGAATTGGTCTTTCCTCTGAACAGATGGATGAGTAGAGAAGGGATCAGTGATCCGATGTTTTTAACAGGATGGCTCCAGCTGGCTACTGTGCCAAGAATAGATGAGGCAGGAGTTGATGATGAAGAGGGGAGACCAGTCAGGAGGCTCCTGCAAAAATCCCAGCAGGAGATGATTATTGGAGGAAAGTAGTGCAAGAAACTGAAGGTCAAAGTCAGAGAGAAGTCACCTGTGTGGATAATAAAGTGCAACATTGACCGGAGAACTCAAGTCTTCGGGAACTTGGAGTAGCGACCCAGGGGTGGGCAGACCGATGGCTCCACAAGGCTTGGCCATAGTGCTTGGGGTATTTGTGGAATCTGGAGTTTTAAAGGGTTTCATCGAAGAAAAGTCTGTCCAGGTGTAGAAAGTACTGGTAGGAGGGAGCCAGCAGGGAAATCACAGGCCTTCTGGGGACCCACCTGGAAAGGGGGTGCTCTCTTTGCCACCATTCTGTCCCCACCCCAACAGGGCCTCCTGGCTTAGGTGGCTTAGATGCAAACACATTTACTCTCTTTCATCTCTTTATCTTTCAAGGATGCTCCTTTAACTAATACTGTGTAGTTTTTCTCCCTTGCGCATACCTCTACATTTTATAATTATAAAATATTCTATGCACACAAGTATACATATGCCAAATAAACATCTACGTATCTACTCCTCATCTTCCAAGAATCCTAAAATGTGACCATTCTTGCTTAAGTATCTCAGTTTCAGAGTGGTCCTTTTCTACCTCTTCCTCTGAGTAACTATTCTCCCAGGTTTGGTGTTTAGCTTCCCCATGCATGTTTTTTATACAATTTCATTTTTTTTTCACCATAAACTGTATCTATACCTGTATCTAGAGAGAGAGGGAAAGAGAGAGAGAGAGAGATAACATTGTTTTGCATGTTTTCAAACTTTGTAAAACAGATCCTAGGATTACTTCCACTTCTGGTCATGGTAGAATAATGAAGACCAGACTTACTCTCCCACCTTAAGTAACTAGAAAAACAGGCAAAACATGTAAAATACTGGGGAAAGGTACATCAAGGAAAGCCTAGACAATCCTTAGGAAGGGAAGGACTCATTTCCCTTCAACCAACCCTCTAGGAAATCACCCTTTTCCACTGGAGGGTATGTGTCAGTTGGAAAGTATGTAGGACAAGGGTATGGTTGTGGGAAGAGCTTGGGGTACATGTTTTCCACATTTCTTATAAAGGGCAGAGCTAAATATTTAGAACTAACAAAGCAGATAATACATCAGGATGTATCTTTTTAGTAGAAATGGAAAAGCTTGACCCTTTCTCTCTCCTGTGCAATGTTGGTGCCAGGGTGGAACAATCTTCAGGCGCCAGAGTTTTCCTCAGAAATAGTTTCAGGATTTCTCTATTATAGGTAAAATTAAAGAAGAGCAGAGAACCCTTCCTTGGGGTTTTTCTATAGAGAAATAGTATTTCTACCAACTCTGATACATTCCATTAAAATGCACATTTTAGTTAAGTCTCAGTAACTATCATTTATGGTAAACTGATAAACTTATTAATAGCTTTTTCCTCTTCACAAAATCCAAGTTTAAGGAAAGGTCAGTAAAACAATATTGGTCCCAAACATGATGCCATAGGTGAAAATTCTCATGGATGTTTCCATGAGGCTGTCAGATATGTGTCCGCCCTCTCCCAAAACAGTAACCATCACTTGTTTTCTGCTTAAGTTCATTTTTATTTTGTTAGGCTTCAATATTATTGCTACTGTACAGTTTAAGGAAGCTGTAAATAGAGCTCATGGATGTTAAACAACCACCCAAACCCAGCAACCCAATGCCAGAGCCACAGCAAGATCCCAGTTCTTTCTGTTCCAATGCCCACACCCTTTCCTATCTTTTATTGTTTAAAATGACCTGCTCTGCAAAGTTACAAAACAGAACTCAAATAAATTTTAGATATCTCCAAAACAGTGATCTCATTTTTAGGATAGTGAAGATGGAGCTTCTTGACGTCAGTAGTTAGATAAAGGTATTAACTGATCACTGACCCTTCCCCTACATCAATACACCCGTTAACCATCAGCTCACTTGATTATCTACAGCAGGAAGGCCGTAATTATCCAAGAGCACGTTATTCAAGAGCAGTTAAAAATCATGAAGATGTTTGTTAAAAATTGTGTTGCTCAAAATGGGAGTCCTATTTTGTGCCACTCGTCATCGTTATTTGATCTGAAGCAGGAATGAGGGGCCATTTCTCTCAAATCCTACTTTTACCATTAAGATGCAGATGTTGTATATGGCTGGGTAGCCATATCGTCACGGCTATTATCTTGTATTAGTCCTGATGCCACAAAGGACCCCGGAGCTCTAAGGGAAGGGATGCATTCGGGACCACCCTTTACATCCCCTTTCTCTTTCTGTTTTACCACCTCCCCTGCGTCACGCTGATTGGCTCAAGTTGGCTAGGGGGCTGGGTCAGTGTGTGTTGAAAGGTCAGAGTTAGGACTCTTCTATTCCGCTTCCTGCTTCCATATGCCTGGGGCAGCAGAGAGCCGGTCCAGCCATCGTGCCCCCTCATTTATGCCCAGGTACTCTTCATTGCAGAGGAGAGTGTGGTAAGATTCTGGATTTGGATTCGGGTTAGAGAAGAGAAAAAATCTCACAGGTCTTCACCCCAGTCATTGCTCCAGCTAAGTCTTCGAGCCGGTCTGTGAGGACTTGAGACACAAGACCTCCCATATAATGTTACTTAATCTTTCTTTAACATTTGTCTCCTGTTTCTTTACACATATCCGTCCCCCCAAAGATTTTGTGTGGTCCACAGTAGGATTGCAGTGTTCTTAAGATACAGCCAAAATATCATCTTAATTCCATCCAAGCCCCTTAAAAAAGAAAAAGAAACCTGTACAAACTGATTTTACAAATAAGCCTATGCTTGTTCTTATATAAAAAAGTGACCTAGGAAACTCAGGTTTTTTAGTTTGTAAAGAAGAAAACTGGCATAAGGTTTACTTAGAATGATGAAGAAGGTGGAAGAGGAAAAGAAGAACCCAAGAACAAAACAGGGTGCAGAGGTAAGCAAGGAGGCCGGGGAAGGAGAAGGAAGAGGAGGGAATTGAGAGGAGAAGAAATTAGTGGGTATGCAGTTTGGGATGAAAATAATATCCTTTTTTGAAAATAGAATCAAGATGCAGGAGAACAGAGTCAGTTGTCAATGTGTCAGGCAAATATAATGTCTAGACTGAGCCGCCACACAAAGTGTAGCACGTGCATATCAAAAACCTAAATGCAAAAGGACAAGGACCCTAGCCTAGAACAAAACATTACTTTAAAAAAAAGAAGAAATTCCTCCAAATTGCTTCTCTCTCTGGAACCACTTACTAAAAACATGCATTAAAGCAAAGGAAAGTTACAGGAAAGGAAAGATTCAAGAAACAAATTGAAGACCACATAATATCATTATGGAGATGCTTCAGTCAACAGATATTGCAAAGAATG